TCAGGGGTGGAACCAGAAATTTATTTATTTGAGGGGGAACAAAAAGTGAAATTGGATAATTTGCTACACTAAAAATACAACAACAAAGCCTTTTAGTCCCAAACAAGTTGGGGTAGGCTAGAGATGAAACCCAATAGAACAGTAGTAAAAGAAAAAAAAAATATTGGAGCAAAAGAAAAAGGAGCAAAAGTCACGGTTCCGGCACGTTGATCGCTAGTCTCCAAGCGCTCCTATCCACTGCTAAATCCCTGGAGATATTCCAATCTTTAAGGTCTCTCTGAACCGACTCTTCCCAAGTGAGTTTAGGCCGACATCTACCTCTCTTAACAACATCGATCTCTTAACAACATCGACCCGCTGTAGAACTCCCCTGCGCACCGGTGCATCAGGAGGCCTCCGTTGGACATGTCCGAACCACCTCAGCCTATGTTGAACCAATTTCTCTTCAATTGGGGCCACCCCGACCCTATCACGAATATCCTCATTTCGGATTCTATCTCTTCTTGTGTGCCCGCAAAACCAACGCAACATCCGCATCTCTGCTACACTTAGTTGTTGGACATGTTGCCTTTTTGTAGGCCAACATTCAGCACCGTATAGCATCGCCGGGCGAATCGCCTTCCTATAGAACTTACATTTTAGCTTTTGTGGCACCCTCTTATCACAGAAAACGCCCGAAGCTTGACGCCATTTCAACCAACCGGCTGCAATTCTATGCCTAACATCTTCATCAATGCCGCCATCCTTTTGTAGCATCGATCCTAAATACCGGAAAGTCTCCTTCGTGGCCACCACTTGCACGTCAAGGCTAACATCACCATCATCATGAGTAGCCATGCTGAAAGCGCACGTCATGTACTCAGTCTTCGTCCTACTAAGTCTTCGACTCTAATGTGTCCTTCCACAGCTCTAACTTTCTATTTACCCCGGCCCTACTCTCGTCAACTAGCACCACATCATCAGCAAAGAGCATACACCTAGGGAGATCACCTTGTATGTCCCTTGTGACCTCATCTATCACCAAGGCAAATAAATAAGGGCTCAATGCTGACCCCTGGTGTAGTCCTATTTTAATTGGGAAGTCGCTGGTATCGCCCCCACATGTTCGAACACACGTCA